TTAGATTTCGGATCAATATGATGTGGTTTATCAGTGCTAAATGTTAACGATAGTTTGCACGTGCATCATATTGATCATCCCATGTAAAACCACCTTCTTGATCCATTAATAAACTTTGATCAACTGGTGGTGTTTGTTGTTTTTTATAATCATCATTTTCAAATATATCACGTTGATTAAATAAACTGTCCATAGATAAATTTTCATTATTAAGACCAGGTATATTAGTATTTGTTAATGAAATACTCTTGAGTAGAAAATTATCATCTGAGACATCATCAATACCCATTGCATTTGCTGAAACGGCTGTAAACGATTTTGTTATAAGTTCTTGTCGATTACGATTACTTAATATATCTTCAAAATTATCTAAATCAAGTGTTTGTTTTTCAAGATTTCTAATAAGTTGTTCAACATTTTCGAGATGAGCAGATGAAGTAAGTAATAATGGATTAATCGATGAATCATCCATGATTTAATTTATTACTGTTATGTAATTTTTTTTCTAATCGGATGATTGTTCGGAATGGCAAAATGGAATGTCATGAAAAGAATAGAGACCACGGGTCTAAAACAAAAAGAATTTAATCAAAATAATATTCAGTTCTATTATATGAGGAAAAAAAATAAATTCATTTCTTTAGCACATTCACAGGATACTAAATAAAAAACGAAAAGTAAGAATAATAATAATTTCAAAATATTTTTCTTAATATAAATAACATACAATACACAATGTCAAACAAAAGAATATATTTCTCAAAGATAAACAAAAATAATTAATTAAAATCAATTAAATTCGATCCATTTGTATCTGATGAAGGAGGATGAGGATAGACATTATTTGTTGAGGATACTAATGGATCAAAATCTGACGATAATGATGAGTTATAAACTGGTTCAATTGGTTGAGTAGATTTAAAATTTGTTCCATAAATTGATTGAATATTTTTGAGAACGTTATTTACACGATTACTCGGAATTGTTTCATTGAGTGATGGATGTCGATCGGATATATTTATATCTGAACGAAATAAAACTGTATTTGCTTGATCAAATGGATCAAATTGTTGAACAAGTTGTTTAATTTCTTGTTGTTCTTCGGTATATTCATCACGCGGATCAATACGTTTATTATCAAACGTTTGAATTTTATTTTGTAATTCATTTTGTAAGTGTTTAATTTTTGAATCGATTTGTGGAGATTGTCGAAAGCTTTCGAGAATTAACGGCTTTTCAATAACTTCTAAGATAATCGGAGATGGTAATAATAAATTCTAAAGAAAATAGAATGTATTTAGAAAAAAAAGTTTCAATAATACTTCATCAGTATCGAAATTGATTAGAGAATTGGTTTTACACTGTTCGAAATCAGGCGTTGAAGACCGAGACGATGAAGATGCTAAGTTATCTGCTCCAGTTAACTAGAGAAATGTTAATTTAAATTATATAAAAGGTTTTTTTGATATTTTACTTGAGGAATTGCTAAATGATTTGATTCAATCTAAATGACAAAATCTTGAGAAATTAAAACTAAAATATTTCAACTTACTGGATCACTAATCTTTCGTTTAGTAGTATCATGTATCTAGTAAAAAATATTCATATTTATTATTTCTAAAAAGCTAATTATCATAAAACTTACATCGAGTGATGTTAGATTAGTCTTTACTGCTGATGCTTCATTCACAACTTTTTGTCCAGCTTTGTTAATCTATAGAACTTAATAAAGTTATGTTTTCATTGAAAGATTATCACTTACAGCAAGGTGTAATTTTTCAGCTTTATTTTGTACTTGCTCAATAAGAGGATTAGTTGCCTAAAGAGAAAAAAATTGTTGGTTTTAATTATTGAAGCGACATGAGCAATTAGCAAGAGCGAATTAGATATTAAAGCATTTTATGTGTACTACCTTATCTCTTTCATTGATTAATACTTTTTGATTTTGATAATAAATATTCTGAGTATTTGTTGTAGTGTCTTTTATATGCTAGAAAACTCACTCAGTATAAATACTTTGAATAATTTCAGTAGGAAATATTTATTTGAAGAAAATAGATTACTTACTTTTTCTAGAATTTGATAGATTCTTTTGTTGCTTTTTGTCTAAAATAGAAAGAATGTATTTACATATTACAGTCGAATATTTTTGATGAGAATACTATCAGAATTATTTCAACGAATCTATTGTCGATGACGTAAGACGAATATCTATAAAGCTACAGTATTCATCAATTGAAAGAAGTACAATTGGATACCTAATATCTGAATAAAATTTTGTTTTTTGATTATCGATTTAGATACCTCGGATACTTAATTCAAGATAAATCTAAAGTTCCTGTATCTAAGTTAAAGGTCAGAAAGAGAAACTTGTCTAAATGGCATGTTATTTATGTGTTTTACCAAGATATTTCGTTTTAAAAAGGTTTCATGATGCATATTATTGCTCTTCTCGAGATATTCGCCTCACATTGATTCTTATTTCATTCTGGCATTGGGTATAGTACTGAGAATGAAGAATTTTCATTAAAAGGTTTTTTTTTTAAATTAAATATTTAATTTCTTTTTTATAAAATCATTTACTTCTTCATCGGTAAAGCAATCAAATCATATGAACAATGCACGTGTAATGCCTAGGGGATAACTGATAGAGAATAAAGGTCATAAAAATCATTCCATATACGTTCGTATTCAAGAGGTTATATTAACACGAGACATTCAAAGGAAAAATTATACTATAACTATATCGAGTGATCCTATTTCGAATTTTCTAAGTATTTTATACTTAAATCTATCATTATTAAATAAATACTAACTCATTCTCATGTTCATTTTTGCTTAATATATTAAGTGAATTGTCCAAAAGTAGATCTCCTTTTGACATGACTCACTTTTTTCGTTTGATCAATCTGTTTTACTTCAAGTTCAAATTCATCAATCTCAATATCACGTTCAAGTTGCGCATAAGTTCGATATCTAGAAAACTTTAATTAACAAAATAAAATTGCAAATTTTTTTAATATTCTTATATTTACCTGTTCAAACATTTGTGTATTAACAATAGAAGACATAAATGGGTATATATCAGATCCAACATATTGCTTCAAATAAACATCTCTATCAAAATCTAATTTATTATTTTTAATAACAAATCCACTTCCATAATTTCCTAAAACAAGAAAATAAAAATTTTATTAATAAAATATTTTTTTCTTCTTCTCCTACCAATAATCAATGCCATAGTTCGAAGAAAAACTCTTGCAAAATGATCTCCACCTAATTGTAATGACTGTTGAAGATCTTTTTTCATTTGACGTATGAGATTTTTCGGAAATAAATTCAGATCATTATATTGAGATTCAACTGTTCGTGTATCAATATTTATTACAACTACATCACCTAATTCACTTTTATTTAAATTCGAATAAATACTTGAATGTAATCCAATTATATAAGGTGCTGAACATTGTGGTGTGTTTGCCATAGATTCAGGAAGAATTGGTACAAAAATATTTTGCCTTAATTAAAATAGATATTAAATTTTATTACTAAAAAAATATTTTTCTTACCAATGCATTGGATTTATTAAACATAAACATCCACAAGCACATGCTAAGAATAGATAAATTTGTAAAAATAAATTCTCGTTATTTATTATTAAACTAACCAGTTAAATGAAAGAGTTTGGATGATATAAATAAGATTCGTCGTTCAAATAATAAATATGCAAATAAATGTAACATTATATCGGGACCCAAACGAGAAAACATGACTGAAAAATTGCGCTAAATAATAAATAAATTTTTGTTTATAAAATAATTTCGTTTAAAATAAATACATTAGATAACATTGAAGGTAATTTATCCAGATCAGGTCGCATGTAATAATAAGTCTAGATAAATTCAATATTAAAAGAAAAGAATAGAAATTTTAAATACTTTTGAAGGAATATGTATTTCAATTCTTTCTTTTCCTAAATTTTTCTGAAATTCTTCATTTGACAAGACTTTATAATTATATAGTGACGATAAAAATGCTTCAACTTCTGTAGCCTTCAAACAAAAATAAAGTAAACAATAAGTAAATACAGCTATAAAAACATACTGATTTCGAATTGATAATTTGTGATAAATCATTAAGAACATTATAGAATATTTCATACCATGGGTAATAACTATCAACAAAAACTAGTGAATATCTCTGAAGAGAATTAATTAATATTGATACCTGATTATACATAAACAAGTTGATTCTCGACTAGAGCGACGACAATAACCAAAACGAAATATTGCGCCTGTTGAATCAAGAACAACAAATGTAAAATGTTCGCTTTGATCATCTCTAAATAAAAATTCTTTATTTAAAATTTCAAAATAAAAGCATTTTTCCTACGGTGGCATTTGACATGGATATGCAAAATTAGCTGCTGTTTTAAGTATCTGATCTGAGAAATCATCTGGATATTTGATTAAAATTTCCGGAGCTGAAAACAAAAGTTTTATTTAAATATTAATAACCAAAAAATACGTACGTTCTTTATTGATCGGTTGTTGAATTTCAAGAAAAACTTCGAACGAATTATCAGGTGATTGTCTGAATAAATTAAAATAATAAAAATGAAAATATAACATATTCAATATATTACTTAATACGAGATTCAATTTCTTTGGTTACAAAATTCGAAGCCATTTACAAAAAGTAATAGCATTGATTAATACTAACAATGATTGATAGTTCAGGTATATTTTACCTGTTGTCGTTTAATTTCCATGATAAGTCACATACCTTTCTCTGGCAAAACAAGAATTCCTATTGGATAATCGTTGAAAACCAATAGAAAATTAGTTTGAAAGACACTCTAAAAAAATGAATAATTTATTAAAATACATATTTCTTTTGATAAATTTTCAATTTGAAAAAATATTTTTTAAAATTATATAAAATGTTATTTTGACATAATGAAGATGAATCATTGAAAGAATTTAACTATGGCGAATACACTTCTAGACAACATACATTAGCTGTGTGTATGAAATAAACCTTTTTACGTAGTCCTTGAATTGCTCTGTAGATAAAAGAAAGAAAAAAAGTTATTCAAAAATTCGGAATAATATCATCAAATTGTTTTTTTTTTTTGATAAACTGATATAATTATCTTTTGGAGACGTAATGAGTTTTTGATAAATATCAAAAAGTAATTTTACAATTGGACATAAAGCATATTTTGAGGTAATTAAAGGTAACGTGAGAATTATTGATGCAGAAAAAACTGATTAAAACTACGCATAAAGGGAAAATCATGATATTTATACAATTAAACGATTGAAAAACATAAGATTCTATGACGTTTTATTTTTTAAATCTTTTACAGAAATATTTCAGACTTTTATCGTTTATTGTCGAATTTGATTTTTAAAAAAACTGATAAAATCGATAAAGATATCGCCTTGATTTTATCATGTTATCAAAATAACTGACATGTTTTTGTAGTTCAGATCAATGTATTGATTAAAAATAAAAATATTCCTGTTGACTTTAAAATACAAATTATTTTACTTGTCAAACCTATCGATAAAATCAAGAGAATATATGTTTCTCGTACGAATAAATAAAGGAATAAGTTTTGATAATAATATGATCATCGCTTACGTATTTGATGGTATATAAAACAAAATATTCATTGATTTAATGCATGGAAAAGTCTTCAAAACACAAAATATCAATCGTTATATATGAGATTCGCATCGATAGATCGAAAGTTTATATACGAAATTATGTCACGTGATAGATAAGATAGTTTGTAAAAGCTAAGGAATACCAATACAGGTATTGATAACTATATCGTACTCGACAATTTTCTTACTATTAGTATCAAACATTATGCCTGTACTGGCATTTTTGAAGGAGTTACACAAAATAAAGTGAAGATCGGTAGTAGAATGTGTAAATATATCGAACTAACAATCATCTTTAAAACGTTTTTTAAAATTCGAATCTATGATTATTACTTATAATAAACGCGTAATTTAATCATGGATAACTTGACAACTTTATGATATGATACATCATTTCATAGAAAAACTAATAAATGCCTGTCTTGTACATAAAACATATCGTTACAGTTGATTATTTGAACAAAAAATCAGTATTTTGTTTTTCGAAAAAATATTTTACTTAAGTGTTATACTTGACCAACTATATAATATAGGATTTCACGTTATAGATAGTCTTTTGGGAAAGAAGTAACTTAATAAATTAATATAACAACCAACGATAAGCAGAAATATGAATAATCTGGTTTAACTTTCTATAATAAATATTATTCATTTGTAATCGTAGTACATAAATCCGATTACTTTTCCTCAGTGAAGCATCTCGAACTGCGGTGATTATTGTTTATTTTGCAAATTTTTTTTTCTGTAAGTTATTATAATAAATTCATTTAGTTCGTATCTGCCATAAGTCGTTTCTTTTCTTTTGTACATATTTGATGTAGATGTATTACAAATGAAAATTTAAATATAGATAAGAAGTTTAGTTAGAATTTCATATAGACAAATGTGTCTTTTTATGATTTATTAAATCTGATTTTTAGAAATCATCAGAAGTAAAATCCATTTTTCATACTGTTATACAAGCATAGTGTTTAGTAACAATATGTAGCATGAATTAGAACAAAACAAAATATTTATTGACACAACTCAGAAATAAAAGCTATTAAAAAATAACATATTATTGGTTGTACCACATATGGAAAGTCCGGATGCTTTCAAATGTGAAGTATTTTAGAAGCATTAGGAAATAGGAGATCTATGTCATTTAAAATCTCACGTACTAATAAAGAAAGTAAATAACAAATTTATACTACTTTCCCAACAATTCATGTTTATTATTTTTATTCAAATGAATCTGAAAGCAAAAATTTCATTGAGACGATTTGTGAAACACATGAGCTCGATATATACGATCAGTTTAAACAAGAATTAATAAACAAATTGTCAGAACCGTTAAATTTGTGACAAAAAAGAATCAACAACATTATTCTGAATTGTTGTTACTTGCTATGAATGTCGATATTTATAGTATTCAAGCATTTTAGATTTAATAATCTCTTTTACTATACTCCAAACATCAAATCATGTAATATTTATTAGAATAAAATACCTATTTTATACATGATTGTCTATGGGTTTTTTTAAATCACTTATATCTTAAATATATAATCCCTTTTTATAAAAAGAAATACATGAAAGTATTTATTGAATGACATGAGACATTCAAATAACACTAGAATAAAATAAAAAGCCTAAAATACTACTATATTCAATGGTACATATATATTCTTTGCATCCATGAAATAGAATAATCAATTGAATCATTCAACATTTGATTTCACGTTTATTTCTTTACATATTTATATTTAATATCGTTTTAAATCATCATTAATTTGTACGAAATCTTACTGATCCTGTTACAAATGGTACTATATAATATTGAACAAATGATATTCATAGTTGAATACAACTCTCATTTCATCTATGAACATCATTACAGTATATAACTGATAGAAGAAGAAAAAAAGAAAATCTGTTTAACAGGAAATATAATTTTCAATAAATACATTTGATTGATTGTCATTAATAGCACCGGATAGATGAATGAATAAATGTCTTCTAAGTCTCTCTTGAGAAATAATTTTTATTTCTTTGATTTCATCCGCTATCATACCTTTAATAACGATAATGACAAGACAAAATGACAAAGAAAATCTATATATTTATAAATAGATGTATGCTTGAATATTTTCTCAATTAACACTACTGTCATATTATATTCTCAGGTGATTAGAAATTTCTCTTTTTTTTTTTTTTTTTTGTTCATTCATCATCATTCAATATTTCCATCTTATGTGACAACTTCATTATATTATTATATTGAGACAAACATACACACACACACACACCAGATGTAATCAATAGAAAAAAATATACTTGAGTCTTATAGAGAACAAAATACAAAGTCATTAGACGCAAATGAAGCATAGTTGATCTAATACACAAAATTGATGACGTGTCAAAAGAGGAGAAGAAGAAAAAAATATTTTTTGTTTACCAATAAACCTGTTGCTGTTGTCCATGAGTATCACTGAAAAAAGCTAATTTTCGTATAAAATCCAAATCATTTGTATAGAGTAAATGTTGTAATGTTGAACTGTTTGTTTCTGATGATGGTGGTGATGATGGTGGTGGTGGTGATGATGATGATGATGTTGATGATATAAAACTTGTATTTGTATTTGTATCATTACCAAGAAGATTATCAATAAAAAATGAATTTTTTATTTGTTGAGATTTATTTGGTGATGATGATGGAGTATTAACAAGAGTAGTTGTTTTTATTGCTTTTTTTTCTTCTTGGGCTTTTTTTTTGTAATAATTTAAAACGTTTTCGTCGTCGTAAATAACTTCCATTTTCAAACATATCACCACATCTAAATATAATCTTATAATTAAATATTCATATTCATTTGTAGATGTAATTGAATCTTTCGTTTTTTAATTGTAGCAATTATCAATAAGCTATATATCTCATTGATATAAAAAAGGAAAAGATCAAACGATATTGTATTTTCAAGTGAAAACAGATATGCTAATTTATCAAGTGTTTGATAAGATATGACGGCTTCTGTTACATGAAATGATTTTTATTGTTCTACTTACTTGCTGTGTAATGCCCAGAAATTGCCTTTACCAGGTCGATCCATTCGACGTGGAATTTTAATAAAACAATCATTAAAAGATAGATTATGTCTTAATGAATTTTGCCATTTTTGTGTATTTGTTCGATAATATGGAAATCGATCAGTAATAAACTAAACGAAAAAATTTTTATGAAATTAAAAAACTTATGGATATGTATTGTACTTTATAAATGTCACTAAGTGGTAACATTTTTTCTGGACTTTGTTGAATCGCCATTGCTGTTAAAGCAATATATGAATCTAAATATATAAAATTATTTCGAAAAAAAAAACAAATTAATTAACATTGATTTTACTAACATGGAGGTTTTTCATCTGAATAAGAAGATTTGCCGGGTCGTGGCATTGTATGATGTGTTAAAAGCAAATAGACTTATCAACACATTGAATAGTAACACCTGTAAACGTAAATTTGATTGGCGGTGATAATATAGATTTTTTTCTCACTTATTTTAACCAATCGTAATACACACACACATATATATATACTCTTTCATTCATCAATTTGCTTGTTCGCTCTTTCTCTCCTTCTCCATTTCAATCAATAACACTAACACTCACACACATATAAATATATATATACATACATCTCATCAATGAGTAATTTTTATATTAGACTCCCTCATGAGTATTGTAGACTTTTCACCTGTTGTGTGCTTATGTACAAGACATTTCTTTTTTTCTCCCGCTCTCTCTCTTCCATTTATATTCATATTCATTGATCCCTAATGTATAAAAGAGAAAGCTCATTTCGAACGATCAAATTAAAAAAAGTCAGTCAAGAACAATATAATATAAAAGATATTTGAACAATAAAATTGTTGTAATAACAGTAAGATGAGAGAAGAAATATGAATACATTCTTAACTCTTCCGGATGAATGAATAAATAAAATATAAATCTTGAGAAATAATATTTTTTTATGCCTGCTGGGATCAAAAAGATTTATGTGTAGAAGATGATTGATAGAGAAACATAACTTAAGTAAATTGCTTGTCATTAGTGAACAAACATGCTATTAAACATTTTTTTTATTTTTCGTTTGACAATTAATTGTTCGAAAGAAAATAACAAATTGTTTGTTAATTCAATGTATACGATATTGAGTTAATATTTCGATCAACTGAAGGTATGTAGGATGAATATTTAGGGGGGGGGAGGCGATCGCCCCCCTCTGCAGAAGATTTTTTACAGCGAAAAAATAGGTTCACACTGCTTCGATTGGACTCAAAAAATAGTTTTTAGCTAAAATCGCCCCTCCGCCACTGTGAATATTAGAAACAAGTTATTAATTAGAATCATTATTTCTGGTGCCAGCATTATCGTATAAATTGATTATACAGTACGAATCTTTTTATTTTTTTAAAATTTAATAATTGAATTTATATAGGAAAATAAATATTTTTTATTTACAATAATAATATTAAATTATGTTGAATAAGAGGAGCAAAATAAGAACCAAAATCTTCATAGAGTTTCTTTTCATTTGTTTCCTTATCGTTATAAACTGAACGATAAGCAATGGTAACATATTTCTTTATAAAACAGAAAAAAATATTTCGAAATATAAACATTAAAGATAACTTACAACAACAGTTTCTGTTATTTTTTGTGATAATTCAATATCTGATATTAATTGAATTTGTTCACCTAATTGTTTAATAAGAGGAAAGACAATTTGAATAATAACCTAAATAGAATCCATTGTAATTCCTTATTTAAGAAAAATGTCATTCGATTTACTTTATGACTCATTTCACAAAGACCAATAAATGCTCCATATCGTGTTGGCCATGTATAATCTTCATTGTTTTTACTTAAAATTCGATAGAAAACATCGATTGTACGTTGTTGTAAACAATTTATTGCCGTTGCATATTTCCTATAGAGAAAACTGAAGTAAATTCTTCGTGTTATAAACTTTCATTCAAACCGAATGATTTGTTTACAACATTTTGCAGCAAGATCTCGTAATGACCAATGATCACGTGATATTCTTCGTTCAAGTAAACAAGAAAGTATCGCTGGTAATAAATAATGTAACTAATAAAATCGAAATTATTATTTTATTTCGATATTTATTAATAGTATATCTTACATATCGTTCTAAATACAGTTCTTCATTTTGTAATAAAGCATCGCCCATTTGCATTAGATATTTCAAAATAATTGATCGATCAAATGTTGATGTTGGTGCTAAATTTACACGTACTCCTTCGGATATGAAAAGAATAAGACGTGAAAGAATTTGTTGAAGACTATTATCTGCCGAAAGAATTAGTAATGCTTGCTAAAATAAAAATTAAAATATTGAAAATTATAATATAAACTATACTTTTCGTTTTTGTTCATTTGGACATATACACATTTCTGTTAATTCTTTGTAATAAATTTGTTGTTCCTAAAGATAAGAAATACAATTTTCCAATGTCTTAAAAACTTTTTCATTTACTTTTGATATAATATGAGATGTTTTGTTTAGTTTCTTCTTTAAAACTGTAGAACGAATTGGTATATCGATAATAGGATTTTCATTTATTTCTGGTTGTTTACCATTTACTGCTAACCAATGTACTAGAACAATAAATAAATCATGTTTTTCTTTGTACAAAAAGAAGAATCTTGTTACTCTACTTCGAATACTTATATCCAAAGGTATTTTTGATTGAGGTATAATTAATTCATCAACTTGAACAATATTATCAGTAATATGATATAAAATTCGATTATCTTTTTTTATTTTATGGAATAATAAACGTTCAATACTCGATGTTGTATAACCACCATACATAGGCTTTAACAAAATATATAAACTAAATTTGAAAATAAAATATAGATTTACTTCTAAATGATTCAATTTCAATGCAAATGCAAAATCTTCTGTTGTTAAATCATTTCGTCGACATTTTCTTAAGACTTTACACGCATCCTTAAAGTAAAATTCTTTTGAGAATATTCTTTATATTTATTTGAGTTTTTTTTACTTGTAAGAGATTAGAAATAGTTGCACTTATTTGCAGAGTTAGATATACAAGAGATTCATCGCATAAATATCGACAATCACTCAATTTTTCAGCAAGATATTCAATAGATTCAACTGAAAATTGAGTAGTCATCTAAAATAAACCTATTTATTAGATAAATTGTTAACTACAAAATGGTAAAGAAATCATTTCATTCAAATGATTGGTTCATGTAGAATACCGTCATGGAAAGAGAGAAAAGTTAAATCTTAGTCATTACAGAATGAATAATAGCTAAAAACTCTTAATTGGTTTATTATTGAGATAAAACTATATATTTTTTATTTTGTATCAAACATAATATCTAATATATTTTAATGATGGGTATTGTTTCCTTCAATAAAATGTATCAAAATATATACAACAGAGAGAGATCTCTAGTATGCGTTCCCAATTTCTATCTGTTTTATTCTTTTTTTTCCATTAAGTTTATTGTTTCATAAATAAGGTTCACATTTACAAAGAAGATAATAAAAGGATGATAACAATCATATACTTTTCCATTCGTGATAATGGAAAAAGAGACTGTCGTCTACTGGAGACACCTCTCATTTGTTTCTTAAATGACCTTTCGGCGGTTGATTCTTGTTAGTATCCAGGTTATCAAAGCATTTCTGTTCACTGTAGAAAGAAAGAGATAAATAAAATAAAAATAGAGAGAAAGGGAATTATATATATTAGTTTAATCTTTACTTATTTCATTTCTTTATTTTAAGTAGTCTATCTGTTTTATTGTCGCCAGTCTACAATTCACGGTTATTACGACGTGTAGACTTTATTATTCGTTGTACCCAGTGTTCTTCAGTTCGCATGCCGTCTATATATAGTCTTGCATACGCATTTATTACTCTTTATTTAATAGATTTTTAAAAAAGTATTATGTCACATTCAAACGTTACTAAAGAAATGTCTGGCGCTGATGTCAACTCCGAAGGCAAACCATATCATGGTAAAATAAGTTATTTTATGGTTAATTAAAAATATCTTTTAATACAATATCTAGAGCATGGTGATAAGATCGAAAAGAAGAAACATGAAGTAAGTCATGATCCCGATGCAAAATATCCAGCACCACATCATGGTCATGATAATCAGGTTTGATAAATTTATTTAACATAAATAAATTTAATCTGTTTGTATGTTTTTCTTTGTTGTAGTTTCACAAAGTCAGTAGAATGGTCAAACAATTTGATTTATAATATATATATATATGTATTTTAGGATTTAAAAGGTAGCATTGGTAGTGGATCAGCAATTGAAAAAGGCGATCGAAAGTAAGAAGAATTTCTATGAATAAAAACGAAGTTTATATA